TCTGCTGTAAAAAAAAAAAAAAAAAAAACTTCCAAGACTTACTCTCTTATGTTCAGGGGCTGAGGTGGATAATGTTTAATTAATGACGAGAAGCATTTCTGTAAAAGGAAGGGGTTGTCTGTCATGCAGCATCTGGAGGAAAACAAACAGTGAAGGAAAAACCTGCAGCCTTGTCATCGTGATCTCTGGAGCCTCTTTGCTTCTGTATTGCACTCCACTCTCTGCCATCCATCACTGCTCTTAGCACCATGTGTTCATCTGGCTTTGTTTTCCTCTCCTGTGGATTTGGGTGCTGATGATGAAAACATAACTGTCCTCCTTTGCTTTATAAGGAACGCGTGCCGATGCACCGTGAATGTATTTACTGTGTGTGCATATGCATCAGGGAGAGGTGATCGTGTGCCTGTCTAAATGCGAATGCTTAAAGCTACATGTATTTCTCGGCATATGGCCCTGAAGTAAACAAAAGCTAGCAGGCTGTGTGACTTTGTGCAGGTGCTGCTGGGAGCTGAAGTGCCTGAAATCCTCCAGATGTCATTTCACTTATGTTGATATTTGTTCTAAACTTGCTGTGACAGCACCTAGGATGGAGTACTTAAACTTAACACTGGTACGCTGTTTCTGTGAAGGTACACATAAATGTCTTGACAAATCGACAGAGAGACGGGGTGTTGCTGCAGGTTAAAGATGCTTCAAGGAGTGGTGGGCAGCAGACCAGACAAATCACGGCAACCTGTCATGCAGACTTGCATCTCAAGCAAGCTGGTGAGTCGAGGTCGAGCCCCTGTTGAAAATAACCAGTGTACATGCAAGTGCTAAAGAGGCTAAAGAGTTTTTCATCAAACTAGCTGCAAGGCTGTGGAACAAGTTTAGTCAACCTGCCCACCCCCCATTTCCCCAAAAGGCTGGGAGAATGTAATTGATTCTTTTTGCTTGTTTGCTTGTTTGTTGGTTTTGTCTAAAGTTTTCAAGATATAATTTTCGAAAGTTGTGTAACGAATGACAACTCAAGCTGATTTACTTTAGGTGAAAATCGGCTCAAGGTCAAGATCACACCAAATGTGAAAATCAGTAAAAACGTTATATTACCTATAATTTTTTTTAGGGATCATCTTTAAACTTCACAATAATATACTAGGCCTTGGGTGACACGAGTACCTAGGTTGACCTTTTTGTTAGTGCCCAAGGTCAAGGTTGACCTTGAAGGAAAATTTCAAGAAACCATATTGAGTAATGTATCATATGAAAGGGCATGGAGACAAAGAGAGAACTGAGTTTTGTTTTGTTTTTTTAATGTATTCCTGGATTCAGGTGTAATTTTCCTCCATATTTATTGGACTGGATTAGCCTTCACTTCTCTCTCAGGTCAGGTCTTGCCACAGGGTCATGTGGTTCTTCTACCTAAACCAATCTGTCCTTAAACATGGATACCATGTTCCATGTTTAAGGACAGATGTCCTTAAACATGGAACATCACCAATGGAATGTCATTGGTGATGATGTTCTAAATCATCACCAATGACTCCAGACACAACCAACAAACATACTATTTTAAGAACATAACACTATAGTAGTATTATTTCTGTTAAGGTCAGACTTATCATGTATGTGGTCCAAACATGAAGGTTTGGGCCACTTCTTGCACTGTTCCAAATACTAAACTGGGGTTTCGGAGTTTGTCTTTCCCAGAGGTTTTCAAACTTTTTGTGCCCAGTGGACAAAAGACAAGCCAAATTTCACAGCTCATCTCTACTCATGTCTACATTTCTATGTCATCTGAAATAATTTTATATCTTTTTAATGTAATGTCAGATGAAGGCACTTTGGAGCATGACACCTTTACTTTGCAATAAGCGCCTTAAGCATATAACTTGCATCCATCACCTTGTTAGACGCAATCTTGCTGCTTCTGGTTAGATCCTGTGCTCTAGTTTCACTCGGAAGTAATGTTTCACTTCTATGCAAATCTGTTGTTCATTGGTTGGGAGAAGCTAACCATCTTTTGTTTGACTGTTTTCTTCAGGTAGATTTATGTAGTTGTCTTCAAAGAAGTGATGGATTTTAACTGCTGTCACATTATATGCTCCTCACTAATACCCGATTCTCTGATGTGTCAAATTAATTTAGGAAACATTGCTCTTATCCAACTCTAAACCATAAACATCACAACCAGCTATTTTCTGGAATTTTTGGATGTAAATTTGGTCAGAGTAAGAACTGAATGTCCGGTCTTCTTTTATCTCTTACAGTGTTCAGCCGGTGTGCTGCTTCCTGTTTAACTACAAAGTGCAAGAGTTGTGTCCACAGCAATTCAGCAAGACTCCACAGAATCTTTGTCAGACCATCTATCGATTTATTCTCTTCCCCTTGTCCTTATCAGGGTCACAGGGAGCGTTGGAGGCTATCCCAGGTACTCAAGGGTGAGAGGCAGGGTACACCCTGGACAAGTTTGCAATTCTGACACAAGGCTAACACTGTCGTTACCACACCCCTCACAAATCAGTTAGTGTTGAGGAATGCAAAGCTGCATTCTGGCAGAAAAGTCGCAACAGTGAGGGATATTAGTCATTCAAGCTGACAGGTATATGTTTCTTAATTATGTATATTTACAAAAAAGGATATACCTGCTCAAGCGGTCTGACTTGTTGAATACACAAGTATTCAATTTTTCATTTAAAGGACTGAACATTGGTAATACTTTTCTGTTTTGTTGTGTTTTGCCATTGTAGACCATGGTGCAGTAACTGATGTGAATACAGTCTGTTTACACATGCAATCACTCACAAACTTTATGTCTTTATATTTTGTGCAGTTACAGTTCTGTGTTGTTGGGTTTTTTTAATCATTGGAAGGTGGTGGTGCACTGTAGCTCATGTATAATTAAACATTTGTAGGAGGATAATGGCTGCACTGTGAGCACTTGCCTCACCTGTTAAAGAATAGGTATTCTTGTCACAGGCCCTGTCAGCTGGAATTTTCCACATGCAAATCCTTGTCATGTCCACGACTATGAAAAAAGCAAATTGTAAGATCAAAAGATTTTGTCTTTGCTCAGAGCTGTATCACTGTTTAAACTGACACATCTGATATGGATCTAAAAAAAATGCCGCATGACCCGATCAAAGCAAGGTTTGCCTATTCTGATTAAGTCAGAGCCGCACAAAGACGAACCCGCAGTCCCTTCATCCGCAGGTAACCTACAGCCTTTTGAAAAACAAGCTCTGCTCGGGACTTTACCCTAAATCTATTTAGGGCACCAAGCTTCATTAGTGCCATTTTTAATCCAGCTGATATCTACGTAACACTGGAAAGGGTAAAGGCTCCTTGAGGAACAATTTAATTCCAACATAGTGATGAATAGATTCACTTTCATAGAGAGAGAAGTAATACAGAGCAAAAACTGATGTGACAGAATAGATTTGCAGTCCTCTGTAGTCCTGTCTCTGGTGGTTTTCCATCAGTTAGTTTTTTCCTTATGCGTTCAAGTTCTGAGCACCATACATACATAGCTGGAGTGTAGTAGTTCACCGTGACCTCTCGTATCTGCTAGTTTTGAAGGCCCTTCCAAACTAAAGAGGGATTACACCACAAGGTAGTAAGATTCATTCAGCCTTCAAACAGGAATAATGATATTATATTTCTGACTTTGGAACGGGTGCACACTGTGCATTTTGTTAATGTTCTCCAGGTCACAGCAATCCTGTGGCTCCTGTGTAACAATAACATTTGTGCTTTCTGCATTTTAATTTCCCACTGAGACATACACAGCTGAAGTTTTTCAGTAAACTTATTTCTTTTTTATGTGTATTCCTTTGGAAGACAGGGATTGTTCTAATGTACTAATGAGCTGTCATAGACTAAGTAAACAAACTTCTTTCAAATACCCAAGTGAGCTCAACATTAAGTTGAGGGACAGTTTCTCTGTCAAAAGATGCTATATTTTGCAAGGGGTGCGGTTTGAAATCATTATTAGAAAAAAAGCTCAGTTTTAAGACTGTCAGGCATTTTCTTTTCTACTCTTTGATCTGTATGATGTCAGTTAGGGGGATATCCTTCCTATTGGCGACTGTCAAGCCTTTGAGTCGCCGAGCAGCTGAATAGGGGAATAATGTTGACGCGCCCGCTGTTTAAAACGTAAGTCAAAGTTCCAGGTTAAAACTCCTTTATTTGTTATCAAATCCTTAAAATCCGTAGAAAAACAGTGATCAAAAACATTCTAAGCTTGAGCGGTCAGCAAAAGTCGACTTCCCCCATCACCCACTCATTCACAAAAATTCCCTCGGGCCGTGAACAGGTGATATAGCAATCACTATTACCGACACCACGTGACCCAAAGCTACGCCTATCCACAACACTTCTTTTCATTCATTTCATTCATTTATTTGTTCATTTCCAGGCACAACAAATACCTATATTGAACATAAAATGCACAAAACAAAAAACAAAAATTGCCTGAAAAAGGAGTGGGATGAAGAAAACTTATTAAATCCCACCCCTATACTCACTCATCAACAAAAAAACAAAAAACAAAACAAAAACCGAAAGCTTCACGAGGAGAGTTAAAGTGGTCCACAGTGATAGCGAAGTCATAGTTCAATGGTGTCTCTTAAATTTCTTTCAGTTTGCAACATCAAAGTTTGGCTTACATTGGGGATTAATAGAGCGAACACTTTGCCCTGTATTTAAGCTTGCCTATGAAACACATAAGGAGGTGACGGCATTTTATATAAGTATTCGTTCTTTAGTCACGACAAGGATCAAGGTGGCACAGATATTTGTATTACTTTTAGTTATTTGTTATGTCAAATCGCCCTTATGGATCTAGTAATGAGGGAACATAACATAAGCGAGGGCCGTCTACCAGATGTTGTTATAGAGCCCTGATCAGCCATTTAAGTCCCCTAGGTTGAAGAGCTTTCTTATATATGCGTATTTTGCGAAAGGCGTTTAATAAAAAAGACTAATCTGGTTGGGTGATAACAAATGTGCCAGAATGAACCCTAAGCTTGCAGACTTGGGTGTTCGTGTGCTTTTTGTGGCCCTTGGTCCTCGCATCGCACCTATCCAGACCACACAAAAACAAACCCAACAGTTCTGCCAGAAACCTGAATGATGAGCGCACCGAAACTAATTTTTCAGATCACTTGGGAAGTATTAGCTTCAATGGTGCTGACAAGCATCCATTTTCGAGCAGTTTACGTCACTTGAGCTGATACCTTGTAAACCAGTAGGTACAGTTCAGAGCGCGGCAAAGGTGGCAATGATTGCTGTGTCTTTCGTGGCTCTCTCCTTCGAGTGAAGATGGAAACCAGGGACTGGCCTATAACATTGCGGTCAGATCGAGGGAGGATGCCTAAAAAAGAGAGGCAGGGCGGGGTTGCATTATTCAACGTATGGGAGATGGTAATGACTGGGCACTGCGGACCTATAAACAGGCTGGATGTACTGTAGCGACCTGTCAGGATCCGCTGTTCTAAAGAGGTCTCGGACCTACCTGGTTCGTTGGCGCTGAAAGGTTCCATCTGTGAATGTGTGGTTAAGAACTGCCGTTTACTTGGTTCCAGCTGGTTTCGGTGGTGCACGCGACACTTCAATAAGTGAGCCATAGTTTTCCTTAGAAACTCTGTATTTGTCTTAAGTACTTTTTTTGTCTATATAGGTATATTATGATTTGTGAACACTGCACTAGAAACTCGTTAGCATTAAAAGTTTCATGACCACAGTATGTTTTTTGCGTTAGCTAGTATCATAACCCCATAATTGTCTCTAGGCTTTGAGTATTGTTTTGTCGTACGTTAAAAGGGAGAAAAAGCAAAATGAATAGGTCAAATTTCAATGTCTGTTTATTCGTCTGGCTATTCCCGATATACTTTAATTTTTTAATATTATTCTAAAAAAAACATTTAATTTAAATGTGGACAGTCATACCTATGTGGGAAATCACTGAGTCTATGTCAGTGCCAGTTTGTCTAATAATACTCGCACCTGTCCTGTATCTACGTATTCACCTAGTGTTTTAGTTCCAATTCAACTTTTAGGTGCGTTTTCAATATTATTATGGTATTTCGCTTCATTTTAGGGACTACAACTATAATTCCTATGTTTCGACATTAAAACCTGCGACCCCCGAACAAAAAACACAAAAATTGCCGTGAATATACAATAAAGAGAAGCAATAGGTAAACGAAAAGGAAAGATAACTTAATTCAAAATGCAGTTGTCAATCCCTGAATCTAAATCACTTCAACTTTTCAATAATCGTGAAAAATTCAAAAAAAAATATAAACTGTCCCTCTCTTGCAGGCTACGTCCCTTATTCCCTTTGCATCCTATCTAGTATCATATATCCATTGCCCTACGTGTACAGTTCACATCTAAACTGCAGCTCGCAAACAACAATTAGAGCCTTCATAACTGAATACAGAATATATAAATTATAAATTGCATTACCACAGGTAACAGGCAGTAATAACTACAAGTAACAAACACACATACATATACATACATATATATCTACACACACATGTACATATATGTACATACATACGCACACTTTTTTTTTTTTTTTTTTTTTTGGAATCCATACCAGCAATGGTAAGAGAACAGACATTACAGAGCACACTAAAAACCATCATTGAGTATACTGTGACCAGACCAACTGTTTGTAGAGAAATTTAAATCTATGAATATTTTTGCATTGTTTCAATTGTAAACTCAGACTGTTCCAGATTTTCACACCACATACAGACACACAAAAACCTTTACGGGTTGTTCGAGTTCTGGGTAATTTGAATTCTCCAAAGCCTCTCACATTATAAACCTTTTCTCGAATTTCAAATCTAGTTTGTAAATTTGCCGGTAAAAGTTTAGTAAAAGCTTTATAAAATACAACTACTAGGCTTAAGAAGTAACGCACAAGCTTTATGCTGATTAATCTTTGTTATTTTTTTTTTATTTTTCGGCGTATAAATACATAATTGAACGTACAAGAATCACTCGAGAAACTTAAGGCTTATCTTATTTGCCTGTAATAAAAGAATGACTTGTCAGAAGTATGATCTAGATAACCAGCTTGTGAATAGACTTTCTTTTAGTATCTGCAGTGGCCTCGTGTTCTCATTAGAGTAAATGTGGACTAATGGATAGTTTTAATTTTATCAAAGAATTGTTCCCTTATAACCGATTGGCACAAACTATGCATGTTTTCTAGATGGATTTGAATATGGTTCATAGTACAATCTAGGTCTGATAATTCTTCGGCAAAGCCTAGAGTTTAAGTCGAGTATGTAGTGCATGGAGTGAATGTTGGAAGTGTATTTCTTATATATTCAAGGTCATGGTTTCCCTTTTTGTTTTCAACAACTCAGGCCGAGGCTTCGGGAAATTTTGGGTTTTTATATTGTAGGTCTGGATGTGCTGGTGGCAGGCATGTCATATTCATAAATTTGTTATCCTTAAAGGAGTTACGACTCAGTTAACCAACCATACATTTGTTTTCAACCATTATCAATTGGGCCCTTTAGCTTCTTCATGATCATTTGGCTCATTTGTACATTAAATGTGATTGGATCTATTTGAGTAGATATTATTTGTAAATTTACAACGAGGTTCGAAACTATGCTCTATGTAGTAATTATGTATAAGTTATCAATGACAAATACGCGATAATAGTCACTTTGGTCAAGTGTCATCCATATGGTTGTTGGAAATTATCGCAGGACGATCCTGCTTTGAGATTGCGCGTTCCTAAGTTAACAAGATCAAGTAATACAGACTCGTCTGAGAAGGGTGAATTGGGCTGGCAAAAAAATTTATGATTGGTAACCCTGCACAATCCTAACGAAAAAGCAGCATTTTGAAGTAACAATGAGAACCATCCAACCATATCATTATATGGTAATAGCGTTGCAAATAAGTTTTCGGTCGACAAAGGGACCTGCTTGGGGTAATCCAGCAATATCCCCTCAACATTGTGACTGTGAGCTCAAAAAAGGTTCAGCTGAGTGTCAAATGCTGCCACACTAACTGCGAACGATATGTCCGATAACAGTAAAAGTGAACCTGATCGTGTTTTGAGACAGTGGGAGAACCAATGCATTATTTACGCGTGAGTTTTTCCCGAGAGAGAGCATCAATCTTTACTCCCAAATTCTATCCAATAATAATTTGGGGATTGATTGTGTCTGAAGGCCTTTTGAGATCAAACAAAAATAACCAAACTGCACACACTCTATTGTCATTATATTTAGACGCATGAGAGATTTGTATCATTTCTATCTTCTGCTTATCAACAAAAATACCAACTGCATATTTATTTTTATCCAGTGTATCAGTAATTTCTTCTACTGCCTCAATTATCGCCATTGAAGTGGTTCTTTGCGTTCTGAAACCATACTGACCAACATTTATTATTTGATGTTTTTCAAGGAATTTTTCTAATCTTGAATTAAAAAGTTTTTCTAGAATTTTTGAGAATTGAGGCAGTAGAGAAATAGGCCTATAATTGGTAAAACTGTGTTTGTCATTACTTTTATATAGTGGTATTACTTTCGCAATTTTCATTTTTTTTGGAAAACAACCGGACTGAAATGATAAATTACAGATATATGTTAAGGGACTAGCAATATTCAGAATAACCTGTTTAACTACAGACATATTTATGTCATGATAATCCATTGAAGACTTACTTTTACATTTTAATGTGATATTTATTACTTCTTGCTCATTTGTAGCTGAGAGGAACAGTGAAAAGGGATTTGATTTTATATTACTGATATTTTCATTTTTATGACACGGGATGTCGCTGCTAGTTCAGGGCCAACATTTATGAAGAATTTATTGAACCCATCGACAATATTACTCATGTTGTGATTTTCACCATTTGCATCAGTAAAATATTCAGAGGATATGATAGATTTACATTACAGATATTGCAATCATTATTCTAGAGTACCAGTTAAATCTAATTGAAATAGCGATTCAAACACAGTACACTTATACACATTGTTTAAATCATAACCTTATCAAAATTAAGTTTTTACTTGATCTTTGTATAATTCATTTAGTTTTAATTAAGGACTTGTATAAACACTTATAGTCCTTTTCTATTCTTGACTGTCATGAATATAGGAATATCTTTTGCACATATAACTAACGCTCTGGTCTAAATGCTTTCTATTTTCTTTCAGGCTACTCTTGATCTGTTCAGTCAATGTACCTTGGTCTATGCAGATCGACCTGATCATCTATCATGTCCCTGTGCTTTGTAAAAGTTTTACTAAAATGATACGAGTTTTCTTTGCAGCATAAATCCTTTGGACTCAGCTTCTTTTGAGTAGTTCTTACAGGAGTTGTTGCCACATCAGTAAAAATATCTAGGAAATTATCATAAGCCTTGTCCACATCTGACTCTTCATACACCGAACTCCAATCTTGTTGTGCTAAATCGAAATTGAAGGCATGAATTGCTTCTTCATTTATTGTTCGCTTTGCTATCATGATCTTGGTATCTATTTTTTTTAAATCACAGTCACACA